TGCATAAGATGGATGAAGCTGTCATCAGCATAACAGTGTATGTGCTGTTTTGCAGTAAACTTTTTGGGTAGTATAGTATAGTAAGCACATAAACCAGCAACATACTTTATTCTTATTATTGAATATGCACTGCATACACTTGGATGTATTATACTTTTTATTTCATAATTTTAGCATATGTTGTACAACATAAAACAAAGCTTTTCTTTCTTTCTTTCTTTCTTTCTTTCTTTCTTTCTTTCTTTCTATTTTTATTCTTGAGATACAGTCTCCTTATGTGCTCCACGCTGGCCTTGAACTCACTATGTAGCCCAGGCTGGCCTTAAACTTGTAGCAATCTTCCTGCTTCAGCCTCCTGAGTGCTGGGATTACAGGTGTGCACCACAATGCCTGGTTCATTATATTTTTATACATGCGTAAAATTTGCTTTGATCCTATCCACCTTCCTGAATACTTTGTTTTATCCTCCTGCCCCTCCCAATGCAATACTTTTGGAAGACTAATAGCCTAGTAAATTTATTTATACCAGCATTACTGCAGGAGAATGTTTCGTGCTTTTTTTTTTTCTTTTTGTATTTTTAGTAAGGGTCTACAGGGTCTCATTATGTAGATTGGACTCCTAGTGATCCCCGTGTTCAGTCTCCCAAGAGTTGGGATTACAGGTGCGGGCCACTGGGTTCAAACCACTGATGTTGGGTGTGGTGGTACACAGCTGTAATCCCAGCACTCAGGAGGCTGAGGCAGGAGAATCACTGTGTGTTTGGGACTAAACTGGGCTACAAAGTAAGCTCAAAGTCAGCCTGAACCGCATAATGAGACCTTAGATTTCAGGCTGGCCTTGAACTCATGGCAATCCTGCTTGTGCTTCTTAAGTGCTGGGATTATAGGCATGCACCACTATGGCTATTTTTTTTTCTTTTTTGGGGGGTGGGGTCTGCCCATTAGTTCAGTTGTTTAAGTGCCTGCTTAAGCAAAGCATTCAGGCTCAGAATTCTGTGGTTCAATTCCCAGATCTTCATGCCTTACCAGACCTGCCTTTAAGGCATCCTGAGCAGGCGAAAAAAGAAAAAAAGAAAAAAAAAATCCTTCTGAATTTTTTTTTAAGAGGTATGTTGTTCAGGGTGGCTCCAAAATTCTGAGCTCTGGGGCTCCTCCCAAATAGCTGGGATTATAGACACTCACCAGCTCAAGAGTTGTTTATTTTTGTGGTATTGAGGATCAAACTCAGGGCTGCATACGCTATAAACACACAACATAATGTTGTATGGAGCTAGATTTCTGGCCCAGGTACAGGTATTTAAATGATGCCTGGATGTAGTATTCTAGCCATTTCCTTCTAAGTGCTTAAACATTCATCTTGCACATAGGTGGTAGGAGGCCAGACTGCATTCTAGGACACCCCAAAGAGTATTATTTCCTTTCCTGTTTATCTCACAAAACTGTGAGTCTCTGGAGAACAGGAATGTGTTTAACGCAGTGTTACTCCCTAGCATAATACTCAGACATTAACAAATGTGCTAATTTTGGAAATATTTGTAACTTGAGTCACAATGGATGTCACTGAAGAAGTTTGCTTTTTCTTTTTTAATAGTACTGAGGATTGAACCCACAGCCTTTGAATTGAGTTATACCTTCAGTCACCTTTTTACTTTTGAGACAAGGTCTTGTAAGTCACTAAGTTGTCTAGGCTGTGCTCAAATTTATGATCCTCCAGTAATTTTGACTTTTTTGAGCTTCACAAAAATGCTTGAGTATCTTAATTATAAATTTCCTTTACTTTTCCAAGTAAATATACTGCTAGGGATAATAAATATATTGTTCAGTGATATAGGACTTGTCTCCCCTGCTTGAAGTCCTGGGCTTCATTCAAAGCACTGCAAAACACAGTAAAACAAAAACAAAGAACTCTGATACAATGAATATGATGATTATTATGCTTTGAGCACTAACTATAATCAGCCATCATTGTCAAACACTTGTATCTCATTTAACCTACAATTCTGTAGGTAATGGAATTAGTCTGTACATGTTGAAATAGTCACATAGCTTAAGTTATTCACCCAAGCTTGTATAGCCAGAGAGAACATCAAAGTAAAAATTCAAAGCCATAGGGCCGGGGAGATGGCTCAGTAGAATAAGCAATTCCCTGGCAAGCACAAGGGTCTGAGTTCAAGCCCCAGTTCCTCAAAAAAAAAAAAAAAAATCAAAGCCAGGTGAGTCTGATCCAACATTCAATGGCCTTAACACTGAAATATGTATACATGTCAGCTATTTCTAGAAAACCACAAGGAAAGATCAACCTCAATTCAGAGGTGGCTGAAAACGGATTGTAATTAGTATCATCAGTATTTAGCACTTTGAGTGTCCACTGTTTCTATGATCCTGAATATTTGAGAAGGAAATACTAACCAAAAATTTATTTACATGGGTGGCTTCCTACGGTGTGACTAATCCTAAAATCCACCTGTACTCTGTTGGTTCAAATGCCAGGAACTTCTTCAAAGTATGGGGAAGACTGACATTGATCTTGATGATGTAATACTGAGATAGATATAATGCCAGCATTTGCTATTTACTTCCTGACAGAAGGGATTTTAGTGCAGCTTTATAGGAAGACCTTAAAATAGAATAGTATATCCTGTTCTATTAGAAAAAGTTTGGTATTTAATATTAAACGAGTAAAGCCAGACATGATGCAAGGTAACCCCAGCACTCCAGAGGCTCCCAGCACAAGTGCATTGCCAGCCTGGGTTAGCAAGATCCTGTTTCCAAGAACAGAAACAAACTGCCCTTCAAATATTAAAGGAATCAGGAGATAGTCCTTGTTGGCACTGGCTGAGGTAGAGGGATATGGCTGAATTGCTTTGTTCAAAACAGACAAAAAAGGGCCAGGGATATACCTCAGTGGCACAAGCACCTGCTTGGCAAGCACAAGATCCTGAGTTTGAGTACCCATTAAAAAAAAGACAAAAATTCTTCTACATTTGTAATTTCCATTCTAGTGGAAGAAATAAAACAAAAAGTTACACGTAAATCAAATGAAGAAACTAGTGTAAGGAAGGGGAATGGAGAATGTGTGTGCAATTTTTTTGTCCTAATCTTTATTTGGTACAGGGTCTCACTATGCAGCTCAGACTTGTAGTGATCCTATCTCAGCCTCCCTAGTGATGGGATTACAGGCATGTGCCACCACATCTGGTTTCAGCGGCAGGCATGGTGTGGGGCTAGCAAGGCACATGGTACTGGGGATCAAACCTGGGTCTTCACATTTGCCAGGCAGGCGCTTAGACTGCCAAGCTATCTTCCTGGCCCTGTGTGTGCAATTTTAAGTTTTTACACAGTGTTGCAGTTGTAGCCAAGTCACTGGACTTTTGGCTTGTTCTTTCTTTTTAGACAGGGTCTCATGTAGTTCAGGCTGTCTTTCAACTCACTATGTAGCCCAGGCTGGCCTCAAACTCCCAGTGAGCCTCCTGCCTCAGCTTCTCAAGTGCTCGCATTATAGGCATGTGCTACGTTGCCCAGTTTGGCCCTCCCTTTCTGAGCTTGCCACATAATGCTGCGTTTGTGTCACCTCTGTAGATCCCGTCTTTCACACACCTGGTGTGAAACTTCTGTAATCTCTTGCCCTAATTTCCCCCTGGCCCAGTTGTCCTAAATCTAATTTAGATTTAAATCAAAGTCCTGGAAGACAGCATGCAAACAGCTGAGTTTGAGGAAAATTAGGGGAAAAGTCAAAATAGGATCTCTTCAGGTACATAAAGAGTCATCTTTATGCTTTCATCTTTGGCCTAGGAAAATAAAAAATGGCTCAAGGGTTCACAAGGTCTGTGGTGTTGGCAAACCTTTTAGAACTTTTGATGATCCAAATAGCTCACTCCAGCACTTCTGCCATATGTTTGCCACTATTGGCCTAGGAGTAGCTGCGAAGAGGTTCTGAGCACGTTATACTTAACACAGAGGCTGAAGGAAAAAAGGGGTTATTTGTTGAATGATTAAAGCAGTAGTTATGCTGAATGGTGGTGGTGGTGGTGAGGAAGGGACGCATTAGCCTCTCATAAACTCCACCAGGTGCTTATACTCAACTACCACTCCCATCCCAACTAATTCAAAAAACTATTTCTTGTTTGGGGCAAATGATACTTCCTCAATCAGACGTAATACGTGTATACAAGAATTCTGGAGAATATGATTTTGTATTGATTCATCACACAGTTTTAGGTATAAGTAGAAAAACAGGTTTGAAATAAAGTTATGTAAACTTATCACCCAAAACTGGCCAGTTTAGGCTGGACGAAAACGATGGTTGCAGTCTCACGGGAAGTTCTTAAATTCATCTACTAAAAAGACAATGGTGCTGAGCACAGGTGCCACACGTCTGTAATCCCAGTATTTGAGAGACTGAGGCAAGAGAATCTCCAGGAGTTTGTAACCAGCCTGGGCTACACAGTAACTTTAAGGCCAGGCTTAACTACACAGGAATTCCTGTCTCCAAAAACTACACACACACACACACACACACACACACACACACACACACACGACAGTGACTAATGAAGACATGTCCGCCTCTCCTTGTGAAGTCAAAATCGTTAAGAAAACCTGAGGGATTCACGATTCACGTCATCCGGCACGGAGACTGGCTCTCTGCTGTCCTCTGTGGTACCCTGAAACCGTCGCAAAGAGCCCGGGTGGCGTTGAACGTTGGAATGAACGGACCCTGCCCCGCACAGCTCATCGTGATTCGCACGTGAAGCAGCAGTGGGAACTGTAGGTGTCAGGGGCCTCGTCCCCAGCCCCGCCCGTCCTCCCACCGCGGCCCGCTGGGAACTGTAGTTCTGCGGTCCGGATCCCTCCCCGCTCTCTCAGCGTCCCCTTCACCCCGGATGAGTCTGCAGAACGGGGGCCGCGAGCCAGACCAAGCGAGCGTCGGACTACAATTCCCAGCGGGCCGGAGATATTCCCGCGCAACCCCTGGTACCCCCCCGGGCGCGCTCCACGCACGCGCACAGGCGCCGGGCGGTGGCGGGATTCGGCCGCGTGCGCTTTCCCGCCCCAGCTTTCGGAGCCCTTGCCACGCCCCGGGCTGCCGATGGCTTCTTGTCTCGGCAGGCAGGGCTTTCCGCTCCCTCGCGCCTCCGCAAGCTCCTCCCTTCACCAGTTTCTTTGGGAGCCGGGGCCCCGCCCGTTTCCCGCCTCCGGGCCCCTATTCGTCTCCGCCCTAGCCCGCCCCTCTCCTCCGCGCCCGGGCTGCTTCTGCTGAAGGCGGAGGCTCCATGTTGTCCCCTCAGCGAGCGGTAGCGGCTTCCTCGAGAGGAGCAGGTGAGGTGTCCACTTTACCCCGGACCCACTCCGTGGCCACCCCTGCCTCCCTGTCTGCTTCGGCTCCGTGCTGACCGCCCGCCCCTTCTGGTCCCGGGATAGGACTGGCCCCCGCGGGGCTGAGCCCCCGCCGGTGTCTGTTGGGAGCCGGGGGCTTCAGCCAGGGAGGCGCCCGGGTTGGGGGTGTCGGGGGCCACGTCGTGCCGCAAACCGCGCCCTGCGCAGAGCCCTGCAGGCCCGCCAGCGCCGGCCCGAGACGCCTTAACGGGTCGGGGTGGAGAGGGAATGTGGATGCTTTCTGTGCCGAGTGCTGGAGGGCTGCGCGGCCTCGTTAGAATTGCAATTTTATTTTTCTCTTAACGACCTTGAAATACTGACAAGTATTAGGAAAGTTGTTTTTCCACCCACGCTCATCTCCATAAAGGGAGATTAAGTAGAGCTGCCCTCGATTGGTTTTTTAGTAAATCTCTTAAGTAATTTGGTGCGGTCCGTCGTTCTTTCGCGTTCCTGAAGACGTAAAACGTGGTAAAAGTGTTAAATAAAAACCAAATAGGGAGTTACCATAAATTCATGGGTACGATTTCGCCTGTCATTTTACCTGGCTTTACTGTGTGTGCTTTAGAAATTTCCCGAAGTATGAGTTGCGAAATGTAAAGGTAAAAGGGTCAAGAACAGTGGAGAATCTTTAAAAAGTTCTACTCAAATTTGGATACGAAGAGGTGGTTTTGTGAAAGGCGGAAGAAAAACTAGCGGATTAAAATTTATTACACGCTTTGGTTTATTTTGGTGAAGTAGATTTTAAAAGTCACAACCTGTCAGGTGTTCAGCATTGCAAAATATGTACTGGCAATTTAAATTACAGTTTTTTTCATTTCCCACAGATACTAGCCTGTATTCCAGACATTTGTGTTGCTCCTCTAATACTTGTAACATACTTTTGATACATTTGATTGAAAAAGATGTAATGATGCTTTATGCTAGTCCAGGATCCTTTTATTACCTACAGTTTAGGATCTCATTTAATATTAATAAAATTGAGAAAAATAGTAGAGAACAGATGTGTAGTAGAATAATTTTCTTAGGGTTTGATAAATAAGGTTTGTTTATTTTGTAGTACTGAGGCGTGAACCCAAGGCCTGGTGTTTCCTAGGCTAGAGTTTTACTGCTGAGTATATACCCTTACTCCCTTATTTGTGTAGGTGTTTACTGGATTATTTTGGTTGTCTGCCCTTCTGTCTCTCCGTCTGCCTGCATATCTTTTTTTTTTTTTTCCTTTCTAGCGATTCATAGAGAAAGGTTATATTCGCGTTAATTGAAAGTGAAATAATGTGTGTGGTGCACACCTGTAACTTAGCAGTCTGGTATGCAGGGGCAGCATGACAGTGAGTCCAGGCTGAGCTATTTTTTGATTTAGTGAGACCCTTTCTCCAAATAATGCCCTGGAAATCAATCCACAGTAGGGGGTTGTTGCCTGAACTAGAAATAAAAAGCCCTGCACTTCCCATTTTTTAAAATATTTTCATAAAACACTTTAGGACATCCTAGATGTCTTTAAACTTGAAAACTCATTTAGAATTTACATCCAGCCATCACTAGTTAGGTCTGTTTAAAGTCTTTTTTTATTTTGGGGGGGGAGAAGGGTACTGGAAATTGAACTCAGTACTCATATTTGTCAGGCAGCCTCTACATCACTGAGCTGAAATTCCAGCCCCTGTTCAAAGTTTTTATGGCCTTTGTATTTTATGTTAAATTCAATTAACACAACTACACGTCATTTTTCCATTTTATTTTGAGGCAGGGTCTGGCTAAGTTGACCTGGCTGGACTTGAACTTGGTATGTGGCCAGTCTGGCCTCCAACTGTGGCCATCTTCCTGACTCACCCTTCTTAGGGCTGGGATTACAGGTGTGTCCTCACACTTGGTAGTTTCCCTGAATTTTAAAACATTTTCCTGAGTTGTCTTTTATCTTAGGAGCATATTTAGGAGCATATTTTTCTTATTATGTTATATTCAGAGTAGACCTATATGCACATGTTACATGTACATCATCAATATCTATCTAGCCATCTAGCTATCTTATTTAAAGCAATAATAGGGAAAAGGGGAAAGCTATTGTACAAAAGAAGAAATCTTTCAGAGACAAGTCAATAGTTGTAGAAAAAAAAAAAACAGTAGTTCTGTGTTTTTTTTTTT